TCTTATATACGTGTTGTGAATATCAAATCATGCCAAATCGAATAACGATAAACGAGGCGATTGAAAGTCTTTGGAGGTTTTAGTAGAAGGACTCTACACCATTTCGCGTATTCTCTTTTCTAACATTAGAACGCGAGGATACCGATAATCCATTCGTATTTCTATCGAGAACTGTCGTAAGGCCAATGATAATGCCAAGTTAGGTGACGTGACCAATGCCGAAAGACCATTGTGAGCACATTTTATAAGCGGTTTAAGATACAGACCTAAAGAAAGTTCCACCATCATATTGCATTTTTATGCTATATAATTTTTACTATATTATTCTTTCAACGTTTCCCACCACGCCTTACATCGATTGGGTTGCATCAAAGAGGTTACAACAGATTCAGCTGGTTCTATCGTTAGGTTCTTTTAGGATTCAAGAAATACTTCATTTTATCACTTATTTTTTTCTTATAGATTGATACAGTTTGGAATAATAAAAGCGTATAATATAAATCAGTAGGTATCTTGAAAGAGAAAACAAAATAACTTTGTCTCCTTGCTTGATTCAGCGTATCTTAAACCTCACAAGGAATATCGTGGGATGTTCTAGAAGACCGTGGTCTCACTTTTCTTTTATTCAGAACGTCACTAAATTTAAATTCGAAGGCGTGTAGCCACGGAATTTGATTTGACGATGCGGTTCAACTCAGTTGAAGGGGACTTGGTAAGCTCAGTATAAAGATATTGGCGTACTCAGGTTTGTGAGATAAAAGAAAATTTTCTTCGCTGCGAGTAAAGTCAAGTTTCATGCACCCGATTATCCAGAAGAGATAGCAACTTTTACAATAACAATCTCAGCCTTGTCGTACTTCTGCAATCGACAGTATCACTATGAAGAAATATATTGTAAGACCATGATTCAGGCACATAGAAGACCACGTTCAACTTGTGGCAGTCGAGAGCAATCTTGATTTACTAGTGTAGGGAATGAAAGAAATGGTTCATGGAGATCTTTCTAGATGGGGTACTGAGTATTATTGGAGGATAGCATCGACCTTTGACTTACATAAAAAGATAACTCTAAGGATCACGTCAAAGTTCTGTCGCTTTTTCTATTTTTTTACTCCCTCAGCATTAGATGTGTACTTTCTTTTCAAACTTTGACCAATTGGGAGAGAATAATACTTTTATTTGCAAACTTTGCGAATAACAAAAAAATTTTTTAGTATTTTGAACATGCAATTGGGAACAAATTAATGACTCGTTAAAAAAGAATTAATTTTTAATAATATTGAAAATTAACTACTAATGTAAAAAAATTTCATTTGTCATTACAATTGAAGATAAAACAAATTCATAATGTTTCGAGACTGATTTGTTTTTTTTCTAGTAATATTTAAAACAGTCTTTCCATTTCTCTTCTTTTCACAACTTGCATTTTATTTTTCTTTCTCTGATGGAAACATTTTAGCTAGATTTTTTCAAATACTTTTTGATAATAAAAATAATATTTTAGATAATTTAAATAACAATGAGTTTTTTATTCATAAAAAATATATATATATGTATTTTTTATTTCATTCAGAATTGAAAGGGATGAATTTATGTTAAAGTAAGATAAATATTAAAAATTTAAAACATTAAATAAATAAATAAAATGTGTTGTCATAAAATCATAAACCTGTTCTAGTAAAAAGTTTCTATAACATAATTAATCGTAATTAAATATATAATTCAATAGAAACTACAAATAAATTATTATATTTTTTTAATAGATGCTGATTGATCATATTTGATGATGATCACAGTAAATATGTTGGAGTAAATAATTTTATCGATAGTCTCAATGCATATTTATTGACATTGTAACGTTCTGTTGATTCATTCACTATATTAGAATTAATGATCGACTGAATAAATATCACCAAAGTGATAAAAATACAATCCACAACTCACGTTATTGAGTAAAAAAAAATTCAATACCATCATATTAAGTATTAAATTAACCAACATCGTGGCTTAAGTGGTAACGTGCCAGCCTGGCACACTATGGGTAGCGGGTTCGATTCCCGGCCGAGACAAGACCCATTTATAATACAGTCTTTTCTCTGACCACGATGAGCGGGGGAGGCCTTTCAGAGGGCAGTCAAAGGCGTAGCTATCGTGCTGATGACTGAATAGTACAAAAAGTGCTATTGCCGCCATGATGCCCTTGGGGAACCAGGCGACACCCCTGTAGTGTACAGCCTTGCTGATGCTGAGTCTGAAACCAGGACCCTTGAGGTAACCGGTAGAATCTCCGAGGGTAGGACGCTTTCTTGTGGCAATTGGGGCGACCCAGGGTGTTGCACCAGGCCTATATAGATCTTGCCTACCTAAGGCTGAGGAAAACCGGGGAACCCATGGGGCTTTAGCGGAATCTCCAAAAGCAGAAGTAACGTTCTTTCGTACACCATATATAATATTATATTGGAAATCGACAGGAGCTATTTCGGGGCTCAGAAGGGAACCAAGGCAAACTTGGGAACCAGGGAACCTGCAGGCCTAAGACATAGACGACCGCCTTTACTGTGCAAACAGACCCTGTACAATGGCCCCGTGGCTAAGTGTAGGGGAAGGCGGGACATTCTAAGACACCTTCCAATTTAAAAACAAAAAAATAAAAAAAAAAGTATTAAATTACAAAAAAAAAAACATTATTTCCAAGCTTTTAACATTATTCCAAGATTTTGTGCTCATCCACTGAAATTAATTTAATTACCATTCTATGCATAGAAAACAAAATTATACTTTAAAGTATATGTAAGATTTTCTAAGTGAAATAAATCATTGTGTTTCAGGCGAACTTGCAGTACTACGTCATACACCTTCAGCAATCCTTATATGGACTTATCGATAAAGTTTTTATCAAATAATTTAAATCATTGACGCGGAAAATCTGCTTTTGCTGAAATTTTTTGGCAACAAGAGAACAAAAAAAAATATCGAGAACGGAATCTTATACATTTACCTGTATGTGGTTTGCACGTGTGATTTTATTCGTGCAATGCACATCAGCTCTTGGCATTCTTGCATGCAGCTCGCGTTGTGTTCTGGGTGAATTATTCTTTCGGTTCGTTGTCTCACCATTGTGTTATAGAGACGTAGATGCCCTCTCGTTGACTATCTTATGCAGCGCATGTTGAACACTGATGAAGTACGATTTTGGTAAAGTTTTTAGCTTGCGATATAACAAATTTATTCATCGAAAATAAGAATACAAATTTATGGAAAAATGAAAAGTATTGCATTATATTCCGTATAAGAAAGCAAATATACGCACGAATGAGTAGAATAGAAAATAGCGAGTGGGGAAATAAGAAGATTAAAGAACGAATAGTATGTGTGTGTGTTTGTGCGTGTGGGTATTATAAAAGTAAGATGTTGTGAGTTTTAGGAGTCTATTCATATTCTTTAATTAGAGACCCTTATTGTCGACTTAACGTAACTCCCTAGTGAATTGGCAATTGTAAGATCTTATGACCCTCTTTGTTTTTTCCTGAAGCTATTCGCTTATATAATTATAATCGATTTCTTGGGATTCCCGAGTATTAACAAAAGTTGGATGATGTTACTGCTGTGTGAGTCATTGCTGTCAGTTTTATGTGAATAATAAAAAGAAGTTTTCTTATAATTTATTCTGTACAACAACAATCGAACTATAATTGAGATAAGTGCCAATAGAGATAAATGATATTGTAAAATAAACATAAGTTTCCATAATCCTGTAAGTTAGTACTTAGAATGTCATTTATTTTACTTTATAATCTTATTTCATTCTGAATTGAACAGTTTTACGCCGTCTGTAGAGAGGATGTTTCACTGGCTCCTCCCTGAATATCCATGCTTGTAATGGTCCAAATAAATCTAAATGTGGCTCCTTCTCGTTTTTCAGTAACGAAAAACAGAATAAGGTAGGACAAATTTAGATACCAATAGCAATCTTTTCTTATTCAAATGAAAATTTATGAGGTGCATAATTGAGACAGTCAACTTTCTACGTAGACTATTTTTTTTCTTGCTTTATACTCTATGGACACTATTAAGTCATTCGAGACATTTTACTTTTACTTTGCTTGCAAGGAATTTAAATCTGCCATCACAATCTGGAGGCTAATTAATAATTATATGCTATAAAATATCATGATAATATCTTCTTCTATACGATTTATTCAATTAATTAATGAACCTTGAGTTCAAAAGAAAAAAGTAAAAAGTTTATTATTAAAAATTCAATTGAATTAAATTACACAGTTTTCTTTTATTTTTATATAAACTGTAAGTTATACATCTTCCATAAGTTTGAGTATTCGTTGCACGAATTTCTCCGTGAGACATACAAGAAGACAATGCCTTATCTTAGGACATATAAATGGTGGCAATATTCCTTTTGTAGTTACGAAACGACCCGCGTCCAATGGCATATGGTTTGATGTCTATCATGTTCACCCTCAAACGTGGCTAAGAAGGGCCGTGTAATGAGAAAAGTCATCTTGAGGGCAAAAGATGCTATGCAACACACCCTTATATTAGGATATTCGTGACCCACTAACAACTATTTTTAAAAGCCGTAAAATGTTTGTGCTGAAAGTTGAAAAATTTCTTGGACTTTGAAAGAAAAAATTTTCTAAATTTCCCAAAAGCCATAGTGGATCGCTGGAATGAAGAAATTCTATGTGGAAGATCAATTGTCTAGCTTTTTCTTCTGGTTATGAATATTAAGAGGGAGAAAATATGAGCTTCCGTCAGCCGGAAAGTCTAACTACTTTAATTTTCCGCTAGCTCCTTAGAAGCTAAGGCATTACATTAACGCTAGCGTGGTCTTTGTGAGTGATAAAATCTCCATATCACAAAGACTTTATGCATACACTTAGAAAGATGAAAAAAATAAAATCAACAACAAATTTATTTGAAAACAAAAATATAAATTTATTTATTTATTTTAATGAAAGATCCATTAATAATATTTCGATTTAATAGATTACAACACTGGGATACGATTTACAACTAAAAGTTGACAACAGACTCAATCCTTATGTTTGCAGTAGTGGAATTGAAGTCGTAGCGTAATCCGATTTTTTCGTTGATTCGATTTTAAATTTTCTTTTCGTCATCCTTGAAGCTATAAAGCACAAGCCACGAATTACTTTTCCCTCACATTGTCGTTCTTTCTACCCTCTTATGATCAAACATTATATTACCTCCAGACTATCTTATATATGGAAAGTTGTTTATTTATAAATTCAATTAGTTGCAGATTCTACATATTGCCATTAAGTTTTTCTTTATCACAAAAAATAAAACCATTGCAAATCGTAGTGTTTTAAAATGATGTCATCTATTTGATTAACATTGTAGTCACTTCTAATGCACTTGGAAGTATTTGAAAAGTAACTACAATGTTAATCAAATGGGTGACGTCACTTTAAAACATTTCCAAATTTGAGATTTGCTGTAACAATAACAATTAAAATTGTTATTCATTTCGTTTTAAATGGAATTTATAAAATTAAATTAATATTTAAAGTTGAGCAAAAGACAAAATGTAGTTAATAATGAATGGCAATATTCTATTGACCTTAAAATTACATTAGTTATTTTATTGCAGAAAGTAAACATTAGAATTGAAGTCAAAATTAGCATATGTCAACAACATTTACTGACTTGACATTCTTATAGCTTTCATGTGATTATTAAAAGATCGATAATTTTATTGATGAAATTTATGAATACTCAAATCAATTTTTAGTAATAACAATAAATGTTACATATGCATACAGAAATGCTGCAGGCATTCCAATATTGCCTCGTAACCTCTAGTAACTTAGTTAAAGAGTCTATTTGAAGTAATTACATCTATTTCCGAGCTGGGAATTGCTGAGTTCCAGGTCAGTTTCAATTCTGTCTATTGAGCAGCAGATATAGGCATAGCAACAAGGACAACGACATTTTCAAATCAACAATTAATACTTCTATTAAACTCTAATAAAATATTTATTTTTTTTTTATAAATGCTTTTAGCTACATCTCCTCTAAAACAAGCTGAACACTTCGTTAAGGTATTTCTTAAACAGTCGTAAGCTTGTATCATTCGTTGCCTTGGCACGATAACGATAAGCATAAGAATAAGTTGTAGTATCCTTACAAACTTGAGAAACCACAGACTTGGAAATACAGCTGATAGTGCACCTGATAACCAAGATGCATTCATAATGAGGTAGAGCTTCAAGTAAACAATATACCTCTTTTTTGCCTTCTTCACTTTGCTTCTATTTTTATTCAAAATCTTTTCATCTCTTTGGATTTTAATTATCTTATATGTCGTGTCGAAAAAAAGACATGTATTGGTCAGTAACATAACTACTGGTAGAAATAAAGTATAAAATAAAATAGCTATATTATGTTGACCATGAAAATCAGAGAAGTTGGGTCTCAACGATGACTCGTGGGGCAATACGCTATTGAATTCCATTACTGCTGCAATGATTGTTGGTACTGTTGATGCAAACCAAGTAGCAGCAGCATATTTTCTAAACTCATTTCTACCATCACGTCTATCTAAATAAATTGGTATCCAGTGGAATCTAGTAATCGCCAAAGTCATATCAAAACAAATGATAAACAACCACAAACAGCAAGCTTGAATAAAATACACGATTATCAATCCTAGAATTCCATACGTTGTGTTTGTCAATTCTATGTGACACAGTTCAAAATATCCACTAAAAATAATCAAAGTATTCAGGACAATGTAGGAAACATTGAAAGAAATGACAGATCTGTCATAAGCAGAATTCTGGTTTTTTGGTAGAAAGCAGTAAACAATAACAACTATGACATAAGAAATTGTGTAGAGAATTGTTGCAAGTACCACCATCGAAGCTCCCCAAAAATTTAAAACTGTTACTATACTATCACACTGATTGTTAATAGTCTCATTATCAGTTCCTAGACACAAGAGGATTACTGAGGATCCATTATCAAACTTATCCATGCATAAACTATTATTTGCATAGTCTTTAAAATTTGACAACATTTCTAATTTATCTGAAAAATATAAAGAAGTAATTAAAAATAATTATATCACGAATAAAAAAACTAACAAATTTCTTTAAATAGATTTTGATAAATATATATTGAGAATAAGTCAAAACTCACTGATTGAACAGATGCTAGTAATTGTTATTCCAACATCGTTACTCAGCTCGGGAATCATTTTTCCGTTACTACTATTCTTTATGCAGTTTAAACTATTGTCAAGTATATATCTATTATCACAGCACTTGAGTAACATTGTGGTCGAGTTTACGAAACTCACAACAAGTGAAATCACTCTAAGAGTTGCTAGCATGGCAGCAGTTTGCAGCCAGTCTATCCTTCAGTGAATTAGAGTGAAGTGACTGATTAAAACTTGTGTTGGTTTCTCATTCTCCCAGAGGTTAAACATCACCAACAACTTTATGTATAATATTTTCAACGGATCCTACCACAAGTGAGATTGAGTATGGCTGGACGTTGTCCAAGCAGTCGAGGCGAGTCTTGAAAACCACCAACTGTTAATGTTAGTGTGCATGCTTAGTTAAAATACGCAATATTCACAAGGCTATTTTTTATAGTCGTAAATAAAATGTCAATACATAGCATGAATGCAACATGAGGCATATTTTTACCTGGTAATAATTTCGTTAAATTAACGTTCAATAGGGGTAATAGTTTCAAAGGTTTGTGAACAAGTGAACAAATAAGCTTGCATTGTAATTATGTATTTATTTACTAAATTTATTAAAATTTTCAGCTTGCGTGTTCAGTTATATATAATTATTGTTATTTTATGCTGACGTCGGAAGTTTTCCCAGCTTAACACTGGGTTTATTATGATGAGAATTCTTGTGAAAAACTGGGTAAAAATTACATCATTATGCAGCTGTATATTTTTTAATCAATAATAAAGGATTAAATTATTTATTTGCACGTCTATATTACTTCAAGTCATTTCTCCTTTATTCACTCGAATTAATTGGTAATTTGATTTGAGATGTAACATTTATTCACTCCAACTTCTCAGAGAGGATCAACATTAATTTCATTTACGAGGAAGTCTCGCAGTGGAAATTCTATTAGATACTAATAATTCATACGTGAACAAGATTTGAATACTACATGTTTCCTATTAAATTATTATTATCATTAATATGTTTCTTTTTTTCTTATTAATTTTCTCCAACTATAAATAAATGTTAATGTTCAGGTGTTTTTAATCGCATGTAGTACATTGTCTCTAAGAAAAGTTAGTGATTTATAGACTTATAATAATGATTGAACAACAAAAAAATAAATTAGTAATACTTTAGGTAATTTTTTTTCTAAAAGATAACACAAGTATTATCTGAAGAAAATGTCGGGTGCTGATATGTCTACCTCAAGAAAATAATTTTTCCTCTATTTATGATGTCACTTGATGACGAATATGCAACGATAAACCTGGAAGTGTGGGGAAAACTAAGGAAAACATTAGTGGTTAGTAGATAATACATATTATTTTAACAATGGAGCAATATTGAATCAAGTTCAGTATAACATAGTTCATCAATCAAGATGCACATACGACTTAATATTCGTAGGATTTTTCTCTTGTTTTTGTTGCAAATATTACTAACCTCTGTTAGTCATAGTAAACATCTCTATCTAATGCACTCACCACCACGCAAGTGTTGTGCTAGTGGATATCTTTTCAATGAACAATTAACCTGTGTGAATCAAACTTTAAGAGAATCTAATTTAAATTCAATCAAGTCAACAGGAATAACAACAAAGGAAGCATTTATGTGCAATCACAATGACTCACTGATTTATGATACAAATTTTAAAAGTGAAAGCATCATGTACGTGACTCTTCACATACCGAATAATTTTTGCATTGATGATGTCACTAACGGAACAAAAATTCTTGCCAAGTGTCCTGATGTCCTGTCACACATTCTAGGCTTGGATGCAGTAATAATGTGGGGTGCTAAAACGTATATGTCTACAAACATTGCTCATGTTATTTTGTGTATCGTCGTAGTGACCATCTACTTATCAGTTCCAAGACTAAGACGTGGACTCTATAATCGAGCAGTAGTTAGACACAACATTTGCCTCATGATGCATGGAGTCATTCTGCAACTGTTAGGTTTCTGCGAACTAGGAAACTGCCAATTTAATGACCATTTAATGATATTCTTTTGGTTGTGGATTCAATATTTTACAATATCAACTGTTTTTTGGCTCAATGTAATTTGCTTTGACATGACGTTAGTAATTACTAGGTTCCATTGGGTAGCAGACAACGGAACTAGAAGTGAGGCTGCTGACAACCGCAAATTATTTTTTTATGGAATATTTGCATGGGGTGGTTCCTTTTTACCAGTATTAATGGCTGGACTTTGTGATTATATTCCCGGTATACCTGATGACTTTGTGTTAAAACCAAATTACATAAACTTCCGCAAAGGACCAAGTTTTATTATCAATGCTTATTTTTTTTTTGTGCCAACATTTACACTTGTGTTAAATAATATACTCTTTGTGTTTACAACTTATAAGATATTCAAGATTCAGAGGAGTACAGAAATGGCAACACGTAACCAGAAAAATATGATGAAAAAAAGATATTTTTTATTCCTACGATTATATTTATTAATGGGTGCTCCATGGTTTTTTGGAATGCTCTTTGCTTCCTTCAATAACCTCGTTATTTTAAAGACTTGTCGCTTAGCTCAACCTTCACTCTGGTTGTTCATTACTGCTACTCATCCAGCAGTCATTGGTAAAATCAAAGGTTTATGTTCAAAGTATAGACGTCCACAGACAACAGTAGCAACAATTAGTATTTGAACAATAATTGAAAATACTCACTATGTAATTTTTTTAATTTTTCTAATAATCAAAAGAATATATTACTATTGTAGTCTTTTTAATGACTCAACATCAACATAAAAAGTCATTCTAAGTTCGCTAAAATTGCATAAAATAACAGTGTTATGTTTTAGAATAAATGCAAAAAAATACAGATAAAATTGATATTAGAAAAAACGGAAAAAAGACGGAAGATTATAAATTGGCATGCACACGCATTGCAGTTTTTATATTTAATACTTGGAAACCCATAGAATGTTTATAAAACGTGTAGGCGAACACCATTGTGACTACGATATTGCGGTTAAAACTTCCGTTATGTAACAGATGTTCTGTGGAATCCCAGTAAAGGAAATTCTTGCTTCATTACGCAAAAAAAGAATTATTGCTAATTGTGTAGTTACATATTGATTCATAGCTCACATTTAAAATGAAATGTTTGATCTCTAATTCTTTATTTTATCATAAACAATCAAATCATTATCTCAAACAAACTCTGAATAGATACATTTTAAAATAACAAGTAATTAGCCAGTAGAAGGAGAATTATTTTTATTTATATTAATTTTATTATTGTAATTAATGTAAGTCCTATAATATTTTACAAGAAAATGATCTGTGATATGCTGAATTAAAAAACACTATATTTAATGTATTAATTAATTAAATTACTATGCTAGTAAATTGGCAAGATGTACCATGTCAGTGATTTAATTTGTAACGAGTTTCATGTTTAAATAAATTACGGAATGGATTAATTTCACATGTTCTATGTACAGGCTTATATGTGCGTTTGGTTTATTATCCTTGTCTTCTGGCATTTTTTATTAGTCTATTGGTGATGGATTGTCACTAGTGTTACATTCTATGTTCAATCAATCAAAGGATAAGCGGATTAATTTGATTACGCTTTCCATCAACTGCAAACAACTAACCAGGATTAAGAATATTGTTTGATCAATTTGTTTTCTGCCATATGAATTTAATTTTTGGTAAAAATTGCAAGACTTTCATTATTCAGTAAAGAAGTTATTTCAATCCTTGATATTAATAACCGTTCACAAGTAACATTTTACAGATAAAAATAAAAAGTTTTGCTACATCTTAACATATTTTTTTTTTCAAATTAAAAAAATGTTGAAGTTCTATTGTTCTTAAAAATTTTACAAGGTTATTCAAGACTCGAAGATAAAAGAAGAATGATAAAAAAAATTTATGCTTTTATCTGGAATAATTCTTTTTGAGTAAAAGAAATGAAACGAAAGAAGTAAAGAATAGAAGAAAAATTCTTACAACCTTAACACACTCTTTTGTTCTAATTCTCAAAAACTTTAAATTTATCTTTGTTACAAATTTTATCAGATGTTCCAACTTTCAGCTAAAAAAATTCTTATCTAGAATAAATTTAGAGAAATAAAATATCCAAAATCATATTTTATACAAAAATATGCATCAACTTTTGCAAGATAAATGAATCAAATTTACGATATATTTTACCACTAATAAAAATAAGATAACGTTTTGTACATAGGAGAAAATCGTTGGCGTGTTCGAAAACATTTCAATAAATACGAGTGAGGTAAATTCTTGTACCGTGGCATCCATGGACAGAGTATTTCTGATTCGTTGAATACTAGTACGACGCTGAAGCTGCGAATGAATATTCAAGTGAATGCAAAGCATTGAAAATGAACTTCCTCAGAAGCATTGATTTGCCTTGGTTGAGGAACAAAAGAGTTGGCTTTAGGTCAAACTTGCACCGGTAAGAACCAAGTATGTAAGTGATGAGTTTCAGACTTTGGAATACATACCCATGAGCACTATCAGATGCATATTGTGATAGTAATACTTAACAAATGCTTGTTCAACCAGAATCTAGAATCATTTAAGAGTCAGCTGATTTAATAATTACAGATCTGCTTGATTTGGTTTTATACTTGAAATAACAAGTGATCTTATATTGTCATGAATTCCTTAAAAAACGTCACCATCGTAAGTAAAATCGTTTTATACCTATAGCCACTTGTGGCCTCTACCTAATGGATGAAACGCGTTTTCTATGTGATACCTGAGCAGTCTCGTTGTGCACTCTAATTAAATTCCTTTTCCCTCTTGCCATAGCTTTAGAGCGAACCCTTTGCGACATTTTAGGAGGAATTCCCATTTATAATGAGCGAAGCAAGCAACTTTCAACGAAGCATGCAATATAAATACAAGGTTAAGTCCAATAAATCAGATGATAGCTCCTGAAATTGCTTAAATTAAAGCAAACTGTTTAAAAATTATTTTTTTTAATCAACGAGAAATCATTAAATTAATTTATGTAATACAAATAGAGGTAGAGAGGTAGAGACATGTATATCCATCGCTAATTTGCACTTCCATATAAAGAGGGTTGTATTGGAGATACACAGGTATCGTAGGTGGAGAAAATTGTTCGGCAGAAGGTGAGGCACATTGTAGTTTTGCATTATAATTTAATTACGATTTATGGAGTCTGGTTTTATGTACATTATACCTACCCTAATTTTGCATTTCCTTTGGACGCTTTTTTCATATCAAATTACCTGAAATTCTATACATATATGTAAGTTAACAACTTTGCATTTACTTTTCAAAAAACTGTCTTTTTTTTATTTCAGCATCATCATTCATGAAGTTGAAGAGTCTTGACTTCTTTTAAATCTTACTAATTCATATTATCAATTAATAATAAAAATTATTCACAAGTACTTATCATCAAGAGCTTTCAGAGTGATTTTTTTCAGCTCCATGAAGTTGAATTTCTTTAATGATATTTTCTGATGAAACTTGAGTTGATATGATAGTTATTCATTTTTTAGATGTTACTGCACGAGACTTGGATGACGAAAGAGAGAGAAATCAGCAATGTGGATGAGCAAAGCAGCAAGCAAGGTAGATAATAGAAGTACGAAGTATATTGAGACGAGACAGAACAAGTTGACTGTGTAGAAGGATAATGAGAGCAATCTGCTCATCTGCTAGCCTGCGATGTCTCAAGTTTGCTTCCTTCAAGCATCACGATGAATCTCGTGGGGATCTTGTGCAGGTTTGTGTCAATGAGGCGTAGCTGCTATAATTTCAACACTTACTCTTGTAATTTCCAAGTTAGATCTTGTAAATTGTTTGTGCTTGTAGAAATAATGTATACTAAGAAAAAAGCAATATAAATAAAAAAAAACTGATGAACCGTTCGATTGAGTCATTCTACGGAAAAATATGTTTATTCAAAGTGACAGTCGTTCAACATCATAAATTAAATTTTTTATTCATATAACTAATGCAAACGTGTTCTTAATATATAAAGCCGTATACAGTTTAAATACAGTCTGATAGTGTTTTGCCTAAGAAGCATTTGCACGCAATTTTGCCATTCATATAGTTAGAAACATTACCCACCAACGAACGATGCCGACCATCCATTATCTCGTCTGGTTACTCGATTGCCCACATAACATATAGCTTCATCTTCATCTTTACTCGCACATCACGTAGTGCATAGCAAACTGGTGTAAACATAAATATTCATTTCCTTGTTGATAAAACGTAGTTAATCAGGGATTGTTGCAAAAATATTTTCCTGATTTTCTGTGGACTATGTTTGACTATTAGAATTATTTGTACAAGTTAGAAAATATTTATTTTTATTATAAACAAATATTTTATTTTGTAATCAAAGCTTTAGTTTATTATTTTTTGAAAAATTACCGTTTATCAAATACTAGAAAAATTCATTCAATCAATCAATGCAGAAAAGTCATATTTTATCAAATATTTAAATAAATTTTTCAACAAGTTTAAAAATAATGATTCATAAAAGTTAATTAATAATCATAAATTAAATACAAGTTATAGAACAGATTGAATTTACTTCTGAATTGAACTTCTTTCATTCTTTTTACTTTTATAACATTACAAATCTACTTAATTAAATTCATTTATTGCCATAGACATAATTAAATGAATTCAATTCCATTGAATGGAATGAGTAATACACTGATACTTTTTATATTTGCTTACACCTGTGACAATAGTAACTGAAGAAGAGCTACTTCAAAACATCTCATTTATTTGGAATATTCGGTACAGTCAACTTTATCTCACGTCTTCTTGCTGTCTCATAACGCGATTGTCGGTCTCGAAATCTTAAGACTCGATCAGATTAACGAAGGATAATACTTAGCGTGATAAAATCGGAGATGGATATAAAAGGGAGGAACAAGCTGAGTGAAGAGCAAAAAGGAAACAAGTGAGGTGAGTCTGGTTGATCTTAATTCAAGAGATAAAGACAGACATAAGAATCTTCTCGTTAACTCTTAATAAAGAAATTCTATGAAAACAAACATAAAAATATCGTTTGAAATGTAATATGACTTACAGGAAGTATATTAGAAGAGTGTTGGAGACTTTCGGAAATCTGTGCTCCATAGAGTAAGTTAATACACCAACTTCGTAGCAAATATCACCCTGTAATTATTTTAATTTTTACTAGCCACCGGAGTCGTTGAAAGAAATATTGTTGCAAACCTTTAGAGTCTGACACAACTGAATAGTATCTGAACGTTAAATATGCCAAATGTACAAACGATAACCATATTTATTTCGTTTCAATATTTAGAAGCTCTGTTTCTTGGCCAGTCACACTCTAAACACATAATCGTGCTAGACACATGTTCCGAACATGAAAACATTGCAAAGCTAATTATGAATCACTCTCCATTGAAAAAAAAGTATTTTCTCTTAAAATACTTTTTTCAAAGTTTTATCTCTGTTTTATGAATTAGAGTTTAATTAATGAGATTTCAAAGAATGTAATTTAAAACATGCGTATAAATTATCAGATTCATATTTTATCAGCAGCTAATAGTATTCATTTTTTGAATAATTATCCAAGCAATTAATGATTATTCAAAGTTAAGCAAAAGTTTGTAAGTAAAATGGTGAAATGACTTTCTCTCTCAAGTAATTTACTGACAGCATAATGAATCGGAGGTGACATGAATCATTCTTCCGCTTCTTGTAGTATCGAGACATACTAGTAGATGTCTTGACGAAGCATCATTGAAGATAAACTTGCACAAAAGACGCGTATAAGCCACGAACGTCGATTCCTGTATATACTAACAGGGTCACCCTTTAGCGAGTATTTGAATCCCTTGACTGTTATCGTTCCCCTTTTCATCAATGGTATTGAGGATGGGTGGAGGTGTTCGTTAGAGGCATGGTTAAAACTGCCGTCAGATCGTTTGACATTAATGACACAGACAACAGCCATGGCTTAGTTGAACGGGTATGAAATTGTTGACAAAAACCTGTCGAGACGCTATTACCTAAGGGCACAATGGAAATGATTCCCTAAGTGCCGATGGTGATGCCATTATTGCAGACTGTTGATGGATTGTATTGTAGAGATCCAAAGTTTTTATTGTATAAACTGTTACATCAGCATGTTGCTAATGGGTATAAAATATCTAACTTAGTTGACCGTACACCAAGCAATGATTATTGACTCTCTCTATGGACAGGCTAACAGGCGCGTCTAAGACAGACGGCGATTTGCATATTCAAAGGTCGTGAATCCTGTAGATCGGAAGGTAGCTGTGGTAGAAGCTGGTATAGTAGTTAGAGGTAGTTTGTTAGGCAGCCAATTTCTAAATGTTCATTAACTTGAAGGAGCAGTAGTGCACTACCCTTTCTCACTGTTGCAAGTTGGCAAATAAACTACTGAAATTCAGTGGTTTATCGAATGAGGTCTATTTTAAT